CTAAATCAAAATTCGGGGGGGGGGGGGGTTTTTTAAAAATTTTTTTTTTGTTTTTAATATAAAAATCAAAAACTGAAAAAAGGGGGGGGGGGGGCGACCCCCTTACTTTTTCCCCCCCCCAAAAAAGGGGAAACTTAAAGGGAAAATTTCCCCCCCCCATATAAAAATTTTTTAAATTTGGGAATTTTGGAAATTTTTCTAAAAAAGAAGCCACTTTGCCGGTGGAAGCTGAAATTGTTTTACCCCACTTATAGCCATTGAGATGGGGGATTTTTTTGGCTTTTCTCAACGACCTCGATACGGCTAGATCCATAGGACAAATCCACTCCCAAGTGGGATCTTTGAAGAGATTCATCGATCTTACACTTATTGTACCTAAGAAAGCCGTAACACAGTGCCACGCGGCGACTCCCAGGGGAGGGGGGGCCCATATCCAGTATGGACTCTGAAATTAGCGAAGATTCCCCATCTTACTTAACTTATTGTTATATATTAATTAATATTAATATGATATCTATAATATATTATTACTGAAAAAGTAGACAAACCTTCAAAACTAAAAGTTCATATATAAACATGTTTTACGTTAAAAAATATCGGAGGGGTTGCTATAAGGGCTATTTTAAAAGTTAATTATAAATAGCAAAGACCCCGGGGATCTCACCTGAACGTTCAAGATTCCCCTTTCAGAGTCTTCAGGGGAAATTACCCCTCGATTCGAGGGATCATGTAACAGTACACACCCTAACTAATAAATTTACTTTGAAAATTTAAGTTCGATTGATAAAGTATTAAGGCAGAAAATTGGGAAAAAAAACTCGAATAACCCCGGCCCGGTTTGCTTACCTAATTTTACCAACACTCTTAGCGAGCACCCCTGCCACCTAGCGTTATAATGCGGCACTAAATTAGGACAACTCGTATTCGTCTTCATTGAATATGCTTCATTGTTAGCGTGATTTGAGTTAACGTTCGTAATAGAGATAATCATTTCAAGATATCTTATCAATTTAAAAAGAAAATAAAATGACTTAACAAGAATAAAGAAACATAGGAGTAAGGACGAAATGAAGAAGGATAAAAGTCAAAGTGAAATGTAATAAAGACGAATCTGAAAACAATAAAGTGACATATGAGTTACAATAATAACAAAGCATAAAGAAGTAGGCAGAATAAGAATAAAAGCAAGATACATAGACTTCTGGCGGTAATTCCCTTCCATACAATTGCTATATAACGCAAGACGGTCGTGTAGATAGATTTTACTTAATATCTATGTACTACGGTCGTGTATATCTCATTACTTTGCACAGGCTATTTGCACTACGGTCAATATTCTCCATATAGTGTGCACGACGGTCGTGTATATATCATCGGCCATATTTTACCTTGAATTGGCTTTTCATCTTCTTTGTCCTCTTTTGTTTTTCTCTGGTCTGCCCCCAAATGATCTGGCATTGTCTAAAAAATAAATACCAGAGTCTGAAAGTGAAAAAATGTTAACTCACTACAGAACTCTTTGTAACTCAAGATAGAAATGGCATAATGCAAGATAAATCGTTTTCTTTTTTATTCTATTTTAAGTTTTCGTTCAAATTGGTCAATCAATAATTATCTGCATTTTTATGTTTTATTAATCTTGAAATGAAATTAATGATATAATAATTTCTATCAAATTAGATACTTAAAACTAAACTTTTTTGTTGAATTTTATGTACGAGCTATCTAAGAGATTTACGCCATTTTGAAAGTTTCCATGTAGAACAGAGAAGGGTGCTTGTGTTTTTTCAAAGTCTTAACATGTTAATTTACATCGAAAGAACAAAAGTTTGTGAAGTTTCTTGAATACATAATATAGACAAGGAAATTAGATTTTACTCCTTTCCATTACCCTCTCATTTTGATATGATTTTGTCTGAAGTTTTTTTTCCACAAAATACAATTGACAGATAATGAAAACTGTCTATTGGGTAGTTATTCATCAGGTCCAGCACAATCTCTTGATTAAGCTATATAGCTTTAAAAAGCTATATAGCTTTATTAAGCTAGTCAAAATAGCTTGATAAAGCTATTTATATGCAGTTTTTTACAAAAACGTTTTTTGCAAGAAATAAACAAAAAGTCTCAAATATTTGACTATTCATATATGTACTATGGACTATCAAAAATACAACCTGAAATCATAGAAATTCTTAACATTGCTGCTGTTTAATACTTTTAAGCAAAATATGAATTTCCATTGTTTGAGTAACTGTGTGTGCAGTGAGGCGGTAAGTATGATTGCTTCTCATTGTGTTGAACTGTTACTGGTCAATCAATTGCCAATTGTCCTCTTAGCCATAACTGGCCTCCTTTATTATTTCATTCAAAAAATAACTGTGTGGTTACACATCAATGGCTCAAAAACTTTTAAAACTTTGAGTATAAAGTCTCTCCAGAGGAAGAACCGCAATTTGGTGAGTGATTTCTACATGCATTGTATTCAGAAGAAAACAAAGTTTAATATTTCCACTGCACCACAGTGAAACTTTTTGCACATGCTGAAAAAATGAAATATTTGAAAAAAAGTGGGATAAAATAGCTTAATCAAGCTATTCTGAATAGCTTAGTAAAGCTATATAGCTAAATCAAGCTATATAGCTTAATCAAGAGATTGTGCCGGACCTGTTCATTGCATTATCTCCTACTTTTCTTGTGTAGTCACATATGTTTATATCTATTGATTTTGTTTCAGTTCAGAATGTATTATATATATACAGGTATAGGTATATTAACATGTTAAACATAAAAAATCTCAATCATAATACATCATAATTTTTTTCATACGAACATTTGTTGTTGTTGTAAATTTACAATCTCATATTGCTCGTATCTGAGCCCGCATGCTGCACAAGTTGTTTGAGATTGGCTACCCAGATCACCAAGTTTAGACTTCGCTACAAGGGCAGTACCTCAGGGATGCCTTTCTCATCAGAGATTATGATATTGTTGACAACTCTGTGATTAAGATGATTCCTTTGTCAAAGAAATCTGATGTATGAATTTTATATTCTTTCCTCATAAATCAAATGAAAATAAAAGAAGAAATGTTTTTCTCAAGTTGTTAATATCATGTAACTTTACATTTATACATATGTACCAGTTAATACAGAGTATTTGTTTATTGAGAACTAACAAACAAAAATTTTATATCTACACTCTTCTCCATGGCATGCATCTCAATTGTAAAGAAAAATAGTACCTGTATAACATTGGGTTTCTTTTTCAATGAATGAATGTGGCAGTCTGTGCTGATAGATAAGAGTTGAAACTACATTATGTAATTCTATATTCTATTTCTATAGAGAAATATGAACTTAAATACTTATACCAGTGTCCATGTCTGACCTACTGTCGGTTACCTGCCAGATGGATCTAACGCTAACGAACGATCCTCATCAAGGCCCCATTGTACAAGGAAATCAAAGCATTCACACTGAGAGAGAAACTACTGAAAGACTTCAATGTATATATATATATGAACTTAATTTACAAACTGTGTTATAGCTAAGTCTCTGGTGATGAATACTTTTGTTATGCAAAGCACAATCTGATCAAACGACACTCCATCCTGCTTTTTGTTTTCTTCATTGTCACTACCTCATGTAGCGACAATAAAAAAACAAAGGAGCGTATTTTGAAGGATCTGATTTTGATCAGATTGATGCAAAGCAGCTATGATATCACACTGTCTATAAGCAGTTTCATTATGCTAAAATTTTGAGCAGCAGTAATGCATAAAATTCTATGAGTGAAGGTTGTAGTTCTGTATAACTTGTTATTGTATGAGCTATTGTTGAATCTTTATCTTGTGTTTCAGGGCCTATTGTACATGCACTTCCTGACCACCTGTCTGACCCTGGTGACGACCTTTTACTACTCTTTTCTATGGACCTTCCCAGTTTTTATTTTTGCCGTTTTGTTTCGTCCCCAGTACACAAGAGTTGGAGGATATGTTGGAAATAACACTCATTTGTAAGTCACTGAGAAGTATTGTTTGTCTGAAAGTCAGATTTGCATATGCTAAGGTCACCTTTTAAAATTGTTTGTTTAGCTTATTTCTCTGCTTACTGGCTATAAAAAGTGGCTCTACTAAAAACTTTTTTAAACCACCAGAAAAGGATAATTTTTCTCTTTCATTCTAAGACTTGTATTTTCTAGTCCGTCAACATGTATATAATTATACTGACCCAATTTTTTAACCCTGAGTTGGAACAGGCAGCAAACATAAGATTAGAGATCTAATAAAATAGAATTTATTTCCAATTAAAGTGAATAAAAGCAAATCACACGTTATTTGATAAAGTCTACCACAAACATGGCAGTGGTTCATGCCTTTGATATATTTGTTGTGTTATTAAATTAGAAAATACACATATTAAATAAATAAATATTCAAAGAGGTTTCATTATTTAACATATAAAAGGATAGTTATAATCACCATTCACCATTGTTAATGAATTTGTTCACAGGAGATTTATTTTCTGTGTGGCATACTTCTTGATCACTACTGATTTCTTTGTTTACAGAAGAATTATTTTCAATATTGCATACTTCTTGACCTTACACTATAATACTTTGTTTACAGGAGATTTATTTTCTGTATTGCATACTTCTTGGCTTCTCTGGGGACACTAGGAGCAGCTATTTACATGTCTGCCACATCCTGGACGGTGATTGTGGTAAGTTTTTCATCTTATATGTGATTGTCAGAAAAAAAGCTTTAAGATATCTGAGAATTCCAGATATTGTGGTTAAAACATATGAAGAAAAAGGGTTTGGAACTTGAAACTTACTTGGATATCTTAAACATATTTTTTTAAAGATATTAATTCTCCACTGCTCGAGATACCATGCAGATCAACTCTAAATTTTTGTGCAAAGAAAAGCTTGAAAACTAGGCTTTCTGAAATTCCTGATTTGACATCTATAAGATAGGATTGTATTGTATTACAGAATCACGGCTGTAAGGATGGGAGTTTATCAGTGACTGCTCTCATAAGAATGTATTCACTGCGATATTCTTTGATATCTATAAGTTTATATTGTATCACAGAATCATGGCTGTAAGGACTGGGAGTTTATCAGTGACTGCTCTCATAAGAACGTCTTCACCGCGATATTCTTCGCCATGCAGTCCCTCCTTCTCCTTCTGTCGGCCATTGTTGTGGGTGTGTTGTTCTTCAGTTTTAGACTGGAGGTAAAATAGAAAATACAAAAGTCAGTCTACCTTTGATTTTATAAATAATTGAATATCTTTATATTTCATTTGAAAGGGAAAATTTTCAGAACTTTTTTTTCTCTGCAGATTGGAGATTATATTGAACAATTCCTAGTTCAGGAGAGGGATATTGAAATGGTGATGGCAGCCGCACGCAATGGAAGGTTAGCTCCCTTTGTAAAGAATATTCTTAAATGTAACCAGTGTGTCTACTATTCTTGTTGCCTTTGTAAATATGAAAACCTTCAATGCCCAAGGTTTATTTCAGACTGAAGGACAAGAGAACAGCTGCGTATGAGCTGGCAGCCATGGCAGCCTCTGGTGACGACAACAAATTCAGAATCGTTGCAGAGGGAGGGTGAGTCAACTGTGCTTCTAAACAATGTATCCATAAAGACTATATCAAACTGTAGAATTTAAGATACCACTGTTATAATCTTTTTTTGCTATTTTTTTCTGTTTGATTAAGTTTGGAGGTTCTGCTAGCTCTGGCAATGAGTACAGATGAAGGAACACAGGAGCACGCGGTGGAGGCTCTAGAGGAACTCATCACCATCCCCTCCATACAGGTAATTTATCATCCCCTCCATACAGGTAATTTATCATCCCCTCCATACAGGTAATTGCTCATCACCAACCCCTCCATACAAGTAATTTATCAACCCCTCCATACAGGTAATTGATCATCACCATCCCCTCCATACAGGTAATTGATCATCACCATCCCCTCCATACAGGTAATTACTCATCACCATCCCCTCCATACAGGTAATTTATCAACCCCTGCATACAAGTAATTTATCATCCCCTCCATACAGGTAATTGATCATCACCATCCCCTCCATACAGGTAATTGATCATCACCATCCCCTCCATACAGGTAATTAATCATCACAGTCCCCTCCATACAGGTAGTTACTCATCACAATCCCCTCCATACAGGTAATTAATCATCCCCTCCATACAGGTAATTACCGTACTCATCACAATCCCCTCCATACAGGTAATTACTCATCACCAACCCCTCCATACAAGTAATTTATCAACCCCTCCATACAGGTAATTAATCATCACCATCCCCTCCATACAGGTAATTTATCATCACAATCCCCACCATACAGGTAATTTATCATCACAATCCCCACCATACAGGTAATTAATCATCACCATCCCCTCCATACAGGTAATTTATCATCACCATCCCCTCCATACAGGTAATTAATCATCCCCTCCATACAGGTAATTACCGTACTCATCACAATCCCCTCCATACAGGTAATTACAGTAGCTGTGTTTTTACAATATTGTTCATTGGGTCTGTGTCATTGTACAAGGTATTTCAGAATATTAAATAGATTTCAGCCTTCACTGTATGTCGTTTTTAGGACAACTTTGTGGAGATAGGAGGAGTGAAGGCTTTGACAGCACTACTCCACTCAGAGAATTCCCGAATCATGCAGGAAGCTGCCAGTGCCATCTATGGAATAGTATCAGAGTCTGACGAACACAAGAGTGCCGTAGTCATGGATCATGGGTAAATGTCGTAATATGTTTTGTAAGAAACGAATTGAAGTATTTTAAAAATCACAAGTTTTTACAGAGTGCAAGTCATGAATTTTTGAACAATGAAGAGCTAGTCCATATTAGTGAAAAGATATCAATAAACTGCCTGTTTTAATACAGTGGCTCTGTGTAGGTTATATCAGATTCTTCAATTATCATTAATGTTGTTATGGCATTAATGTTGTTATTATGGCAGGATATTTATATAGGCATTCAACAGAGATGTGTGTTGTTGTCAAGTAACTGGATGACCATATCAGATATTATGATATCAACTTGAAAGTTTTGTTTTGATATTGAAGGTTTGTCTTTACTTAAATGTGCGTCTGCTTACCAAGGAACTTTGTAGAAGCAATGAACTTACGTCACAAACACTAGAACTTCTGGCAATAGAGAGTTCTGACATGATCTGTGCCCAGGTAGGTGCCATTGCTTTAGTTATACCCCACGCAACTAGTTGCGATCCCGTCCGTCAGCATTCAACAGTCAGAGTCCGTCAGTCCCTCTTTTTTTGTAGTCCTCATAAACCGATCACCTCCAGGTAATATATTACCAGGTTCTGAACTGTAACTCATTTGGTCATACCTTGGAGATGAACAGTTTGTCAACTAGTGATCAAACTCAATAACACAATGTGTAGATGTGCATATTACCAGGATTGTCATGTCCTCACTTTTTAACTTACGCATTTGACCATGCCTTGAATATAGAGATGAACAGTTTGTCAGCGCAACTCCTCATAAACCGCTGCACAGAATTTCGTCAAACTTTGCAGGTATTTAGGACACAATGTGTAGATGTGCATATTACAGGAAATTCCGATTCCATTATTTTTTCCGCTTTTTAACTTAGGCATTTGGCCATACCTGAAGGTGAACAGTTTGTCTCCTCATAAACCGCTGCACAGATTTCGTTTTGCAGGTATACACAATGTGTAGATGTGCATATTACCAGGAAATTCCGAACTAAACTTACTTAAAATATAGTCTGTCTTTATCTGCAGCTCAGCAGGTATTTAGGCAATGTGTAGATGTGCTTTACCAGGAAATTCCGATTCGTTATTTTTTCCTTTCCGCACTTTTTAACTTAATTTGGCCATACCTTGATATAGAGATGAACAGTTTGTCAGCACAACTCCTCATAAACCGCTGCACAGAATTTCATCAAACTTTGTAGATATTTAGGACACAATATGTAGATGTGCATATTACCAAAATTCCGATTCCTTTTTTTTCCGGGAGACACTTCTGGCAATAGAGAGTTTGTGACATGATCTTTTATCCCAAAGAGTTTTGCCTATTATTCAAGTTTCTCCCCCCCCCCCAGTTTGGATTTGTCATTGTAATTTATTGAAACTCTGCATTTACAGTTAAAGAATTATTGCCCTTTTTGATCTATACTAAAATAACACCGTGTTCTGGTATGTCAAAATTTAACAAAGACAATTTACCATAAACATCTGTTCTGTTCTATTTAGGAAAATCTACTTGAGGTTCTTTTGGAGCTTCCGATGAATACCATGGATGAAAAGTTGTTCCTTTTGGCAGGAAAAATTCTCCTGTACTATGCAGAAAATAGACATGTAAGTCATGCCTTACTTTGTTTCTTTGATATAAATCATAACATTGTGTGGACACCTATTTTAAAGAGTTTTTTATTGATTTCTCTGCTTACAGACGTGTGAACTACTGATGGATCACACCATGCTGAAGGAGTCTCTGAGTATGTTTGCCAGAACCAAGGACCCCATGCTGCAGAAAGTCGTGGCTAAAATCATCTTCTGTATGCTGGAGGCTGCAGATCTACGGTGAGTTGTAAATATTTAAATTTCTGAATCAGGAAGCATATCTTTAAAAAGCCTACATGTACCTTCATATCAGGTTATATCAATTCAAGTTTAGCTTAGGACTTGTAGCATTTGTACATGAATTGAAAGTCAATTCCATTGTTATGAATAGCTTTCACCAAAATATCATATGGAAATGGCAAAAACTAAAGTAGCAATTTGAAAATGTATATACAGAAAGATAAGTGTGACTTTGGATACTTAATCATTACATATAAAGTTCTGATGAATTTGAACTAGAAATGATAGAAATTTTTGATTACTAGATACAGTGTATTTTGAAATCCACACATTTAATATTTGATGTTAAATTATTTTCTGATATGGACTGAATATTGTTTGTGTTATTATTTGACAGTGTGCGGGCTCGGCGTCTGAAGTTGGACCGGGTTCTGGAGTATATAATGGATAACTCTGCTGACAGGGAGGCGTGGGACATGGCTGACCAAGGTAACGTGTAACAAATAAATTATAAAGCTGGAAAATACTGACAGTATATCTGTTTATATAATTTATTAAGAGGTTATTTTGGTGCATTAAAAGAGATTCCATATATGTGAGGAATATTAAAAAAAAATTGTTTTAAGTATTGCTCTGTAATCTTTAAGTCAAACACCTACTTTCTACATAATTGATCCTTATATTCTGAGTCTGTGATATAAAGGTATTTTCTTACATTACAGGCCTACAGGTGATGAATTCCAAGGACGACCACGCCCCCGTCCCAGCTCTTCCCTCCCTCAGTACACTGGAAAAACTCAACAAAATGGCCGCCAAGGATTCGTTTGGATCTCGCGCTTCCCTGCGTTCTGATCCGGGCTCATCTGGAGGCTCATCTGATGACGTAAAGAAGGGACTCAACTGAGGATACCCTCCTCCCCACGCAATAGACTCATTGTTAAAACCTCCTGTTTCATGTCAACGTTAATTAACTTTTCCAAGATAGTATTTTATGTTTGTTAGAATAAAATGATCTAGTATTCTAATTATATGCACAAATTAAGGTTTTGTTTACTTTTTCCGTCCAACTCTTTTTGAGTTATTTAAGTAAGTACATGTATATGTATATTGTACAAAAAGGAAAACTAAAGTGTATCTATTTTGTATCTTTTTTTTTTTTAAAAACGTGACATTTATTTGTTGATTACTGTGATAATTTTATGATTTATTCCTATTCGTAGCACTATTTTATTTATATTTATATATACCTGTCTGTGTGTATATTTCTGTATGTTTTCTTTCATGTTATTTTTTGAAATATTTGATTAAGATTGAATTGTCTTTCATTGTTCACAAAGCTTAGTTATCTTAATTTAATACATTTTCATTTATTTTAACGAATTTAAACAATTTTATTATTTATATCAGACATTTTATTTTAGACTTTTGGAGGCTGGTCCTCTCTTGCTTTATTAACCATGTTAACCGTTATAAACCAATGCAGTAAACTACTGAAGAGTTACAGGTGTGTGTTATTTTTCTCTGAATGGTGGGACGTCAGAGGGTTCCTGTAGATTACAAGCTCTTTTAAGCACAAAGCTACCATTATCATTCCCTACCCCATCTTCATGACGTCAAGATTTTGTAGTATCATCCCTCGACACAAACTCTTGACATGAAGATTATAAGTCACTATTAATTAAAAGTTGGGCTAGAAAGCTACCATTTCATTTGTTCCTGGTCTAGGACTGGAACCGATAAGATTTGACTTACTTTGACTCATTCCTGTTCTCTCCCTGGAGAGCATAGGGCCACAACCACAACACACCAGTGGACTCTGTTTTTATCCCCTGCTTGAAAAGATCATGATGTACATCTGTCCATCTGTAATGCTTTGTGGTACCCAACTCTTGATCTGCAACTCCTCTAATGCCACTCAGGCACAGTATGAAATTTAATGACACTTTCACAGAATCTTCATTACATATTGTCACTGTGCACCTCCAATTTTACTTTTTGATCGGACACATATTTTGGGTTTCCCATAGTAAGACATGAATACTACCATTCTCTCTGTAATACACACACGTATTTAAGGAATAACTGTCTAATTTTTAGATTTCATGATGTGATCAGTTGATTGGCTTTCGTGATAATTTGCATATTGCCAAAGGCGTTTATTCATAAAATTATCATGCAAGCCAATCGATTGATCATCGTCAAGAAATCAAAAAATCTGAGTTATTCCTTATATTTACATGTTCTTGATTCTGCAAATCCACATGCTACAAGCCCCATTTCTTGTCTCTATTTGTACCGCCCTGCAAGATTATTTTTAACCCTGCCTATTGATGATCCAGTACATTTATGTAGAAATAAAGTACATTAACTATTTGTAATTTTATCTTGAAGAAAGACATTGAAAATGTAAATATTGAAGGATAACCATCTCTTATCTGCAACTCCTACTATACCACAGAATAAAATTTAATGATACTTGCACAGATTCTTTATTACACAATGCCATTGTGCACCTATTTTACTTTTTGATCCAACACTATTCGGTTCTCCCAGAGTAAAATATGGATTTCCCATTATATAATCATATGGGAGGCTGAGGGTATCATTTAGTGAGCTCAGTGCTCACAGTACCTTTAGTTTATTAATAAATTTTATGATGTTTTGGTCAATATTTAAAAATTAAATCATAATAAAAACAAAACAAACTAACTTAAAATACACCTTTAATAAATATAAATTGCATCATTTGTTCATAAAAAATATTTCAATTTATATTCATGACTGACAACTTTCAGAAAGTTTTCATTCTTACAAATGCCAATGAGCAGAAAAACATTAAATATCTACCAGCAGACATTTCCACTCAGAACAATGGTGTCTAACAGTTCATAACTGCTGTTCTTGGACTTAGTATTATGTTAAATGCAATAATGCAGTTGTATTATAAAACACACATAAAAAGGAATGAAAATGTTATCACCAAGAATCTCATATCTTCATGTTTGTAAAACAGATTAAAATGCACTCTCGAGACAAATTCTGAATTAAAACTGGACTAGATATTACAGCGCTGAGTAGCCCGTGTAGCCAGTGATGAAAGGTAGACCTGTACCCACAGATTTCTGGTAGTCTAAATAATCTTCACCAAAAAAGTTCAGAAGATATATCTCCTCTTCATAAATTCTTTCTCGGAAAAATCTCCATGACACTATTGTATAGGCTATCAAGCAGAATGGATTTCCTAATATTAGCTGAAAAATAAAACGAAATTTATACATGTTTATTAATTACTCTAGCACATTAGTATACTTAATATACACAAACCTGCAACCAGTGCATACTTTCCAAATATGTTGCTCAAAGGACTCCATGCAGCATAGACCTACAGGCTACAACCCCTACCTTTTCTGTATCACAATCAAAGCAAACACTTAGAAAACCCAGATGAACATCTACAAGTACAAGGTAAGCCAGAATAGGACCTCAATACTGAGTGTAACCTTGTACCTACACATTTACATGTATATACACTCAAGCAATGCTGATTTTTTAATGATTTGAAGTTTACAGACATTCCAGTCAAATAAAACCTAATAATTAGAAACCTACAAGCTTTCTCCATTTAAGTTTTATTTTCAAGACAGAAAGTGAAAATTGCTTCATAATGTTCTTTGATTCTTCTAAGCTTGAAGTGAAATAAATTTGTTACTCTTTCTTTTTCATCTCTTTCTCCTATGCTTAGTCATATACATGTTCATATTACTACATGTACAGGTATCAACAAGCTAGATCATGCACACATGTATATGATTTTGTTATGATCACCACCAATGAAACTTGAGACTTGACATTACTTGAGTCCCTTTGCTCCAACAAGAGGCACAGGGGCCACATCGCTCACCTGAGCAACTGCCTAGGTAAAAGCAAAAATCAGTTAAGCAATGAAAAGTTTAAATATAAAAGTGGGTTCAGGGGAGAATGGGGTATTTGAACAAACTTAAATCTATACTTCCTACAGATGCTTTTAAATTAATAATATGATACATAATGGCTTTGTTGTTTATAAGATGAACATTTTATTGATATAGCCTTTATATTGCTTTGAATAACTGTGTTCCACTTTTATGGCTCCTCTAACTCATGGATCTACATTACCTTTTTGATGATTTTATATTGATGATCAATCTTGGCTTTGTTGCTCTTGTAAAGAATTTTAACCATTTTTTTAATATATTCCTACACAAAACCTTGATCACCCATTGTGGTCCCACTCGACCCCCAGGGGTTATGAATTGAACAAACTTGAATCTACACTACCCGAGGATGATTCCATATAAATAGGAACAATCACTTCTTTGCTGTTCTCGAGAATAAGATTTTTAAAAGATTTTTCCTATGTACTCCTATGTTAAACTTTGATACCCCACTCTGGCCCCATCCTACCCCTGAGGGTCTTGATTTGAACAAATTTGAATCTACACTATCCAAGGATGCTTCCACATGAGTTTCATCTTTCCTGGGCCTATGATTCTTAAGAAGAAGATTTTAAAATATCTTTCCTATATATTCCTATGTTAAACTTTGATCCCCCATTGTGGCCCCACCCTACCCCTAAGGGTCATGACTAGAAAAGCTTGAATCTACACTACCTGAGGATGCTCCCACATGAGTTTCATCTTTCCTGGCCCAGTGGTTCTTTAGAAGAAGATTTTTAAATATTTTTCCTATATATTCCTATGTTAAACTTTGATCCCCCATTGTGGCCCCATCCTACCCCCGGGGGTCATGATTTGAACAAACTTGAATCTACACTACCTGAGGTTGCTTCCACATGAGTTTCATCTTTCCTGGCCCAGTGGTTCTTGAGAAGAAGATTTTTAAAAGATGCCATCAATTTTTTTACTAATTCATAATTATCTCCCCTTGAAAGAGGGCATGGTCCTTCATTTGAACAAATTTGAATCCGCTACACACAAGGATACTTTGTGGCAAGTTTGGTTGAAATTGACACAGTGGCTCTTGAGAAGATGAAAATGTGAAAAGTTTACGACGCCAACAACACCAACAACAAAAACAACAACAACGACAGACAACGGACAAATTTTGATCAGAAAAGCTCACTTGAGCCGAAGGCTCAGATGAGCTAATAAAACCACTTGAATAACCTGAGTCCCTATGCTCCAATAAAACCACCTGACATTACCTGAGTCCCTATGCTCCAATTAAACCACTTGACATTACCTGAGTCCCTATGCTCCAATTAAACCACTTGACATTTCCTGAGTCTCTATGCTCCAATAAAAACCACTTGAATTACCTGAGTCCCTATGCTCAATAAAACCACTTGACATTACCTGAGTCCCTATGCTCCAATAAAACCAGCCGACGTAGGACGGATGTCGGCACCAGGAGTACACTCCCCTGGTGACCAGCTGATGACCTGGTCTCTTGACGTACTGGACATAATGGTTAAAATTAGTTGAAGCCGTAATCATACTGGCTTTCCTTAGAGATTCTCCAAACAGGACTAGCAGTACACCAATGACAGCTACATAATAATACCGCTTTAAACCTAAAATAAACATGGTCTTATTCAGAATTTAAGTAAACAAAATGATGAAATTCATAATTATACATGTGCATTTCTGCTGATAAAATGTTTACATATGTTTCTGTTTGTATAAATTCTGTGTTACTTGACTCATACCTGGTGCTAAATACCATTCAACAAAAAACTCCAGCCAACTAGCTACTGCTGCCAACTTATACTCGCGACTGTGGTCCAACAGGTACGAGTCTAGGGTGAGAGAGGAAGGATTTGTAGCTGCTGTTGTCAAATACTCAGAGAAGTGGAAGAAGCTGAGCGCCATCAGGTACCACCCAAAATGAGTCAGGGTGGTGTTAGAGAGGCTGATAAGACACCCGAGTCCAAACACCAGACCAAGGAAGCCACCTCGTACTGCCACCTGTAAAATATACAAAACAGTAACTCAAACCAGGTTAACATCATTTCTTATATAAGAAATTCACCGCCTTCAAATACCATTGGGGAAAAAATCACCAAAGAATTTACATGTTACAGTGATTGTTATCCCTGAAGATTATTTGGGAAGACATGCTTTCAATTTCATTCAAGGATATTAATGTAAATAACTGCAGAGTATTGCAAGTATTTAGATTCCCGAGACAAGTACAATACAAAATGAAACCAAATGATACCAATTTTAAACTACACTCTATAGTATTTCAATATGGTACGTGTACCTTGTAGAAGTTACCGTGGATACCACCTGTTGTGATGTAGCTGAGCAGCACCAATAGGCCATTGTACAAAATTGCATACAGTAAAAACAGAAAGAACCAAAAGTATGTGTATAAATAGTCAAAATTAGTTCCTAAATACGATATCCATGGCACAAAAACGATGCAGGCACCACCCAGAAAACTTTTCAAACTTATTCTACCATTCTCAACCAGAAACGCCATTGTAAACACATTTCGTGATTACCTCCCTTTTCGAAGCTCTTCCTTGTTTACGTTTAAAATTTATCGATTACTAATGGTGTACTCCGATTCCGATGGAAAAAAATAATTCTAAATTTTGCGTTTCACAACTGCATTTGTTACATTTCATTATACAGCAGTAAGCTTAAAAGCTGTTTTAAAAACAAAACTTAACGCATCCATCATGTCACCCTGACAATAAGACAGAATAGGCCCCGGGATCATTGAAAAAGACTTCAGATCACGCCACGTTTTCGGATAATACCTTTGTGAAAATATTTTAATTTTGTACTAAACTGTATAACATTATAGTACAATATCAAGATTAAAATGTTCCCTGACTATGGAAACAGAACTGTATATTTATTTGTAATTTTAATTCCAGAAAAGATAAAATATGAAATAATTACAATATAGTATGGAAACCTTAAATTGAGTAGTGGACGTATAATATTAACCATCTTATGAAAATACTATTTCGGGGTTGAAGGGAATTCACTGTATACAAGTATGACTATTATAAGAATGGCATGTTTTATTTTCCCTCAAAATTAAGAACTTTCTTGTCTTCTTTACTGAGTAATACCCCCCCCCCCCCCAGTTCATCATCTAAAGGTAAACATTTGAAAATTTGTTTTCGATTGATCTAAATATTTCTTTTCTTTAGTGTTTAAATTTTTCACATGTAATAAAAAATGAGTATCTTTTACCAGTGTCCTGTTATAATTATAATTCCCAAGCTTTTAAAAATTAATACCTGCACATAAAACTACATGTGATCAAATAAAAAAAGGATCAAAAATTGTATAATATTCTGTATCCATTCATCCATTGCTGTTTTGAGTTGTACCTTTTTAAAGATAAATGGATTGTCTATACAGGCAACTCCATTTTGGACAGAAATAAATCTCAATCGTTCCTGGAAAATTGAATTCTTGTCGTGTGAAAGAAAAGAAAGAAAACAGACAGTAACAGACAATAAATTGACATTTAAGATTTGCATAATACACCAAAAATATTGGAAACAGCTATTCTCCTTAATGATTTCGGCGTCAACCGACACTGAGCAGAATCATTAAGTATCGACAGACCGATTATCTCAAAAGTCAAGGACCGCATCAGGTGACCAGTATTACTGTATAATGACGTAGTGATTTTGTTTTTTTTTTCTTCTTTATTTACGGATATATCTGTTTTAATAATCCATTTATCATATATAAAAGTCATCCGTGACATAATCCCCACTTGTTACGTCTATTTCGACTTCATTTGCACCCGCCATTGTGGTTTTATTGTTCTAACCTTCCTCGTGCGAAATGGCAATAGTGATATACATTATTAAAAAATTCAATAAAATAAAAAGGTTAACGTTAACCATGTTAACTAAAAGGTTGCCAGTCAGGTCCAATGTGAGGAAAAACTATGCATGATATAAACCTAAAATGTTAAGAAGCAGGGAATACCTGCCGTTAACATAGTCCTTACGTAGAGGTGTTTCTGATCGCGAGTTTCTGCAGCACCTCCACACCATGCACCCGCCACTCCGATTCCGAATCAATTCGACCGCCAACACTGACCAGCTGTCAACAGTTCCGCCACCAATCATTGGCCAACGGTATGAATTGTTGTCAGAAATGATATTTGGAATGAAAAAGCTACCAATACAGCAACAATGAAACTAAGCATACACCACTTTGTCCAGCAGCCGACACACACATCATACATGTGCTACAACATCCACTAGGTGGTTGAGTACAATCACCATAAAAAGTATATGTCACATTAGATCACAATAACTTTCAAATACATGGATAAGAAAAATCAGCTCACCTGACAACTGGAAACAACTTACTATATGCATAATGTCATTCTGGATAAAAAGAAACAAGGCACAACATCAACGAGCATCCTCCTCATTCACTCTGCAATATTTCTGTTCTCTTCCGAATAGACAATGTACCCGGCTTCCACACCACATAAGTCAACATATTGTCACTCAACACGATTGCCGACCAATGATAGAACTTCCTGTATTGAAGCAAAATGTTCACATTGTAGCTTCTTCATTATGTCAATCGTCACATTCCACTAACCTTAAACTCTCACAAAAGAGAAATTTGTTAGTTTTATCAAGTAATCATATGAAAAGACAACACAGTTATATATTTCATCACTTAGGAATAGAGAGATAGAGTGTGCAGACTGTCATGACATGTACAATATACATATTTTTTGCTCTGGTTTTATCAACGAGGTCTAGGTGGTTATTTAAGTGTGACTTGTATATATTTAATATGTACTCATTTTGTTTAGCTTTATCTATAACGTGTAGGAAGTATTGTAATGGCTCCTTTAATTTTTCAAAATCTTCTTAATATAGACAAGAAAAGTCCACAATGCTGTGCAGCTCATTGTAATGAATACTGCTATCATAATTCATTTGAAAAAATATATATTTATTATCTCAGTCAAGCATTCCATGTGTATGAACGGATTTATTTGTTTTGCTTTCTTTCTTTCTTTCTTTTTTTTTTTGTCATTAACATATATGCAAATAAAAATAAATAATGTTCATGAAGATAATGATTACAATTCTTTAATAATTAAAGCTAAAAAAAAAATATTTTTTTTTTACTGAATTTTTTGGCATTATTCTCTGCATGCATTATATGTATCAAAATAAAATATATTTTTCTGCTTTACCAATACAGGGTTTTATTTTTTTTAAACAAATACCTAGGTCAGTTTGATTTGTTTTTAAAAGTCCAGTGAAGCAAAAAGAAAAAAATTAAAATTGCACCATCATTCCATGTAGTGAATAATTGTATTAAATTATTTGAGTGCAGTGTTTATAAATCTAGAGAACTTGATGAAGTAGTAGAATTTTCAATAATATATATATATATATATATATATATATTATTTTTTTTTTGAACATCAACCATTATATTAGCAGTATATTTTTCATAATACTTTTATTTTTCTTTAATTTCTTTTCATTCCAATTTCTACATTTATACATGTACATGTTTTAGCAGCTAGTTTTTTTCCTTTCTTGTCATTTTTTTGGAGGCTGCCTCTGCCCCATCCCCATCTTTTGTCTAAGGCCTGTCCCCTGTTACATCTCTCATATACATGTATGTTCCTCAAGGAAATGACTTAATCATTAGGCTTGTTACAGAGTGACTGTTAACAGTTTCATCATATACATACAAGCTTGAGAAATCTGATTTCTTATGGTAATTTAATTTTATAACAGTCAAATATTAGATACATACATACATTTATATTTTTTACAGCTGCAATACATGCTGTGTAAAATATGGCTGTATAGGCATTAACAAAATGAAAGATTAAGGGTCTCAATAACAAACATGGGGGAATCCAGACCAGAAGTAGAGTACATGTACATGTATAAATGTAGAAATTGGAATGAAAAGAAATTAAAGAAAAATAAAAGTATTATAAATATTATATAATGGTTGATGTCTCTTTTAAATATATATATATATATATATATATATATATTATTGAAAATTCTACTACTTCATCAAGTTCTCTAGATTTATAAACACTGCACTCAAATAATTTAATACAATTATTCACTACATGGAATGATGGTGCAATTTTAATTTTTTGCTTTTTGCTTCACTTGGACTTTTAAAAACAAATCAAACTGACCTAGGTATTTGTTTAAAAAAAATAAAACCCTGTATTGGTAAAGCAGAAAAATATATTTTATTTGATACATATAATGCATGCAGAGAATAATGCCAAAAAATTCAGTAAAAAAAAATATTTTTTTTTTAGCTTTAATTATTAAAGAATTGTAATCATTATCTTCATGAACATTATTTATTTTTATTTGCATATATGTTAATGACAAAAAAAAAAAAGAAAGAAAGAAAGCAAAACAAATAAATCCGTTCATACACATGGAATGCTTGACTGAGATAATAAATATATATTTTTTCAAATGAATTATGATAGCAGTATTCATTACAATGAGCTGCACAGCATTGTGGACTTTTCTTGTCTATATTAAAACAGTGAAAAGAGCCATTACAATACTTCCTACACGTTATAGATAAAGCTAAACAAAATGAGTACATATTAAATATATACAAGTCACACTTAAATAACCACCTAGACCTCGTTGATAAAACCAGAGCAAAAAATATGTATATTGTACATGTCATGACAGTCTGCACACTCTATCTCGATTCCTAAGTGATGAAATATATAACTGTGTTGTCTTTTCATATGATTACTTGATAAAACTAACAAATTTCTCTTTTGTGAGAGTTTAAGGTTAGTGAATGCGCAATTTAACATAATAAACAAGCTACGATGTAACATTTTGCTCATTCAGGGAAGTTTGTTCTTAGACGAACAATGGTGTTTAAGTTGATATCTTTAATTTATACATATAAAACAGGGACACATTCTACTTATTCAAGGACGAAAATGTCAGAGTGAATGGAGTATATTCACGTTAATATTTTGTCCTTGTTTTTCCATGCATTATCATATTGTGCGTTCCTCTTTAGGTTGCTAGGGTATATGTTGCTTATACATGTACTTTAAAGTTATTGTAATTTAATGTAACATATTTCTTTTATGTAATTATCCTAAAAAGTCATTTGGTTAACGCATACTGATCTTTTGTATTTTTCAGTCTGCAAAAGTAATTTATTTTTCATTGTTTATTATCATTACCTTTTTTCATTAGGAATCCATTCTAACAACAATTCTAGTTTTGACTGGCCAATAATTTTCCAGAACTGTTTAGGCTGACCATGTAGGAATCGACTACGAATAGGAGTGCACATACATGTAAAGAGGTGCTGCAGAAACTCGCGATCAGAAACACCTCTACGTAGAGGACTATGTTAACGGCAGGTATTCCCTGCTTCTTAACATTTTAGGTTTATATCATGATAGTTTTTCCTCACATTGGACCTGACTGGCAACCTTTTAGTTAACATGGTTAACGTT